AATGACATTTTTATGACTTGAAGAACTTGGAACATTTCCGTATATGAAAGTAATATTTAAGTAAACTTAAATGCAATGCTGATATTTTTTTTATGAGTAAAGTCGCATTTTCATCCGTAAAAATGTTATTTTAGTGTTGCAAGGAAGGAAGAAAGGACGTGATTCGATTTTTTTAAAACATGGGCTTGAAAATGCCCATAAGAAAGTTAGCAAAGGTCTTCTTCCATGTTTCGCTTCCATTTAGGATATAAATGATCATAACTCTCCACAACATCCCATCAGATATAGTTCTAAGCAGTTTTCTCCCTTTGCTAAGGCGCCAGTCGACAGTTCTACCATCCCTTCTAACTAGTTTGTTAGATAAGTGGCTCACTGACTTCAACTCTGCCTCTCTCTTGCCCTCAATATTTTCCGTAAGGGTTAAGATTTCCAAGCCAATCTCATTATGTGTCCAAGGAATTTCAAATGTCTTTTCCTGATTTTGAATATAAGTGTTCTTTCTGTTGCCACTTTCTCCAAGAATCGTTACCTTCATAGAATTTTCAGTATCCTAATTTCTGCTGCCTCCAGTTTCTATTACACATCACTCGGTCGATTATCCAACATTCACTGCTATTTTAAAGAATAGATATCACATCGCAATTCAATACTCTTTTCGTTTGTGACGGACTTCACCACATTAATTTAACTTTAGACTAGGAAACAGGACTGACGCAGAAAAGGATAACCAAAAGACATTGTTACACGTAAAATATCTATTTAACAAGTTGTACAATATCATAGAACGATGTGAAGAAAAGCATGCATTTAAGTAAGAAAAGGTTGAATTAACCAAGAGTTGTCTCTCTTATCTGTTATTTTAGTGTTCCAAAGTTCACTGGAAGAATGTTCATGAGAGTCTCTTGTAATGATTGTTCTTGAAAGATATTGCTATGTAAGAAAAGTTTATGTGAGTATATACAAGGTATGTTCAGCATGTGAGTGGTGTGCGTGAGTGAGAAAGTTGGCGCATGGTTTCAGCTGTCGTAGATTCGTTTGGCAGCTGAATTCTCACTAAAAAAGAGTTACAAAAACTCTTGCTTAAATAAGTGACCGTAGGCTCCAAATCACTGCGCGGGAAGAATTATTCTTCATGTGCAAACGATCTGATTGGTTGGCATCGACCAATCAGTGATCTAGATTTGGGGAGACTTAAGAAAGCTTCTCTGATCCGTTTTTTCCAAAAGTGCACAAAATTGAATACTTAAAAATAGAGCGATTTCTAAATTGTCGCATTACTGCGATTTGTAAATTGCCTATGATAATGTAGTGGTGAAACAATCAAACAATGAATGCTTGGCGTTGTATGTGATTTCTATTTTTGTGTGTATGTATGTTCATGCGTAATAGATCCACACAATTTGTTTGAAACATTTCTCAGCATCTTGATTAGCTCGGCAGGGTTAGAATGTTTCTTTCGCTAGTCCAATATATGTAGCAGTTTCCATCTTCTTTTAAAATATTTCCCAGGTATTTGAACTTCTAGAAGAAACTTTCTAGCAGAAATGTATAATAATATATTAATAGAATAATCAACTATATTTAATATTGACATAACACCGGTCGACATTTTTTTCGACCCAAAAGTTGTTGGGCAATGGGCATATGTTTCTGGGCTATTTTTCACGCTGTATCTGAAAATCAAGATCATTTTTTAGCATCACACCCCGTTTGTCAGTACAGATAGTTTCTATGTTTCTTAAAATAGGCCAAAATACCCATTTGACAATGATATACCAGGGCCAAGAAGAATCAAGCTTAAACGTTTTCAGGTTAAAATAACTTATCATAAATGAAAAGGTATCCCAATCACTTAAAGAAAGCATTTTCAGTTCAGAAAAATTAAAAAAAAACACACACACACACACGCAAAATTGTGTCATCAATTTTTGAATCAAAAGACAAAGAGGATATAAAGGAATGAAAATCTACATTCATTTTTTCCCTCCATATGTAAAAATCTTCTCTTCTTGGAAACTCTACGGTGGTTTTGAAAAAGTTGCTCTCTTTTGATGCTCCGGCATAAATCAGCCATGATGTTAACATCCCACCTTCCTTTGTGTCTTTCTCCCATTATTTTAAGATCCTGATTCCCTATTCATCACTCGAATCACCAAGATTATTAGGAAAATGATCGCGGTCACTAAACAGAAAGTGAATCTTGAAAACGTTGCTCTCTTTTGATGTTACCGCAGAAATCAGTCATCATGTTAGCATCCCATTGCCTAGTTCTCTATGCCTATCTGCTGTTAGGCGGTTACTTTAAGCGCTGATAAAAAAATTCTAATCTTGCTAGTCCCAAATCCAATCGACTAACACCCTAACAACACTCATTGATCGATGTTCCTATGCATGTTACAATGAGACTGCATAACAATACCAGATCTCCGTAAATTCAAGTGATATGATAAAATCTCATGACGGCTTAAAGTTTAAAGTAAAAACTAAAATCACTGTTCTTGAATGACTTCTAAAGAGATTCTTCGATGAAAAGTAAAACAAAACAAAACGCATAACATAGAGTTTTAACAGGATGAGAACAATGAGGGCGCAAGAACATTTTTCAATGTGATATTTCTCATAAAATCAAGCACATCTGAACTGAAATAGGTTAGAATTCATTTTGAAAGGTATTCGGATTATTATTCTTTAATGGTAAATCATTTTATCATGAAACGAAATGTTTCACCTATGTCAGGCGCATAGTTAAACCGTGGCAGATCCCTGTGAATTAGGTATTTTGGTATATTTTAAGCAAAATATAAATTATCTGTACTGAAAAAACTTGATGTGATAGGTGAAAATGGACTTGATTTTCAGATACAGCATGAAAGAATAGCCAAGAAATAGGTGCCCATTGCCCACAACATATGGGTCGAAAAGAAATATGAACTGGTGTAATCTATTGTTACTGTAACACGAACTTTGCTCGCATATTATCATCGTTTAATTAATTTTTGTTTTTTTTTCTCCTTCCGTTTGTGCTGTTAGGTGTCACGGAGAGACAGAGTCGTCTATCAGCGGCAAGGCATGTGGCGTAGTAGAAATATAACGTGCGCTCTGAGAGTGTCTGCCACTGAGTCTCTCCAGTGTTTCTTGGTCTGCCTCTCGCTTTCCAACCTTACGGTGTAAGGTCATACGAGTGAGGTTTTTCGAACCACTTGATCTTCTATCGTTCTATGTGTTCTATGATTACTCCTACCATATCTCTTATTGCCTCATTCATCTTGTCTTGCCTAGCCTTTTCACTACTTTTCTCAGGCATTTCGTCTCACAAGGGATCGGTTTCCTCTCAAAGGCTTTTGCTTCCGATTGTGCTGTTAGGCGTCGCGGAGAAACACAGTCGTCTGTCAGCGGCAAGGCACGTGGCTTAGAGGAAATATATTTCGTCGTCTCTGAGAATGTCTGCCACTGAGACTCTCCAGTTTCTTCTTGGTCTGCCTCTCGCCCTCCAACCTTAGGGTGTATGCTCGTAGGGATGGTTGGTTGATAGACATACGAGTTAGGTGTCCGAACCACTTGATCTTCTGTCATTCAATGTGTTGCATGATTGTTATTGCTCCTACCATATCTCTTATTGCCCCATTCCTGATCTTGACTTGCCTGGTCTTTTTCACTGCTTTCTTAAGACATTTCATCTCACAAGGGATCAGTTTCCTCTCAAGGGTTTTAGCTGGGGGCCATGTCTGGTATATGTCATATAAATAAATATAACTGATCATCCGAGAAATTCAGAGAAAAATAAAGAATTAAACCTAAAATAATTAAATAGTACGAAAAATAAATAATGGTGAAATATAGATTATTCTATATTCTAAAGCACGATGTGTCTTCATATATTCATCACTTATACAGTTATGTCTTCGCTATTTGCTAATGCGATATTTATGTTTGAAGGGACATTAATCGATGATTTATTTTCTAGAGTTAAACTAGACAGAGAAATCGAGACCGGAGTCATTTACCAACTTGCTCCTCTTCTAAAACATGCTAGAATTTCCCTGAGCCCCAAGCAAACTCTCATCAACGCTATTTTTCTACCAATGCTGACATACCAGTGACAGACATGGCCCCCAGCAAAAACCCTTGAGAGGAAACTGATCCCTTGTGAGACAAAATGCCTGAGGAAAGCAGTGAAAAGGCCAGGCAAGACAAGATCTGGAATGAGGCAATATGAGATATATAAGAGATGAAGTTAAAAACTAAAATTAATTATTCGATGATAATATGAGAGCAAAGTTCGTGTTACAGTAAAAATAGATGACACCAGTTGACATTTCTATTATAACTCGTTCTCATTTTTGTTATTAATATTACATCGTTTCGGCCGTTTTTCTTTAGGTCTTTCTTCAGGTTTCTGTCACTCTGCGTAACATTCAGGGAATTTCAAAATTAAGCTCTCATTTTATCTACTTGTTGAGATTGTTCTTCCGCTGTCCATATGTAGGGATACCTCGCCTTGTTTACTTATTAACACTGCTGAATTAGTTCTTGCTTTGTTTTCATTGAATCTGCCCTGTCCTGAGGCAGAAGACACAATTAATATTGGAGCAAATTTACGCGTTTATCCTCTAGGTAGCCATTAAGAATATTGCCTTCACTATTGATCCATCGGCTAATAGGTTATTAACAATAAATATGAGGGCATTATTAAGTTTATAAATAATGTAAATAATTCATATTGCTTAATATAATAGTAATTTCAATGACAGATTTTGAATTTATGAATCCTCTTATGACCAAAATCCACATGACAAATACTTTTATCCATAGTATATATATCTTAGTTATTTTTAAAAGGTATTTAATCTGGTATCGGTATTTGGTTTAGTGTATTTGTATTTGCCGTTCCAACGGGTATGCGGTGACCCTAACTTGAAGGGTCATGTCAAATTAAAGATCATGTAGACTCTGATAATCTAATCAACATTTATGCTGATAGTAGAACCACGTTGATCAGCTTGGCCTTAAATCTTCTCTATCTATCTATCTATCTATCTATCTATCTATCTATCTATCTATCTATGCCAGTCTTTTCAAATATATCTATCTATCTATCTATCTATCTATGCCAGTCTTTTCAAATCTATCTATCTATCTAGCTAGCTAGCTAGCTATCTCAGTTTTTTTAAATCTATCTATCTATCTATCTATCTATCTATCTATCTATCTATCTCATTCTTTTCAAGTCTATCTCTCTATGTATCTATCTATATATCTATGTCAGTCTTTTCAAATTTATCTATTTATGTATCTATCTATTGGGAATGCTCTTCATGTTCACTCAGTGACATTGTTCCTTTTGTGATAGCGATTCTAGCAAGACACCACACTTAACTCGAACAAGCCATTCCTAACAGTAGCATTCAATAATCAGCTTGACAAGTCACTTCAATAGTACTCACTGCTTTTTTTCTAGACAATTACCAGGACTACATATCATGAATGGATCAGTCACTTGATGATAGTGAAGCGGGAACTGACTCTTACCTCAGCATTTAGTTTATTTTTATCTCTTCTCTTGCGTTGTGTGGTAGCTTTTTATGATGGCATTGATTATTAACTCTTACGACAGGTCCATAATATTTTAGATTCCTTTTCTTCACTTCCAACGACTATTTCTTGTCTGATCTTATCTCTTTTCTTTCTTTCTTCTTTTTATGTGCCCTGACTTTCAGGACGTGTGTGATCATGACTCTCCACTTCTCCCTATCTCTTGTAGCTTTCAGTAAGTTTAGTCCCTTTGTCGCCTACCCCAGACCACGTTCTGTCATCCACTTGCTTAAGCCCACCAGGTATGTCATGCATTGCTTTTTTCTTGACTATCTTTCCCTCTTTTCGACCTGTGAGTATCAGATTCTCCAGGCCTTCCTTTCTTATTACGTATCCCAGAAATTGCAGCTTCCTCTTCCTGATGTTAAGTATAAGCTTCCTCCTTGCTTGCATCCTCTCTAAGCTCTCATCGTTGCTCACACGCTCGGTCCATGATATCCTTAGCATCCTTCTGTAGAACCATAATTCCGTTGCCTCGAGTCTCTTCTTCATCTTTGAGGACGTCGTCCAAAATTCGCCGCCGTACAGGAGGACAGCCGTCACGTAGTTGACGACCTGCAAATCGCAGTTCTGGCTCATCCTTTTATCTCGCACCGCGCTATTTCTTAGACGGTCAACATAGACGACGGTTTGGATAGATATGATGATTCTATATTCTGAGCTAGTATGATATAAAACAGCGATTTGCATGTCGGGGACCACCCTAACATCAAGCAACTGCAGATGTTTAAATATCTGGGAAGTGTTTTTTGACAGAGGATGGTAGGTGTGACACTAAGATATTGGGATCGGCAAGGAAGTATTCCAAAAGCTGAGCAGAGTATTGCGAGAGAGGAAGATCTCTTTGGTAACAAAGAAAAGAATACTGAGCTGCACCTTACGTATAAACAACCGACTGCGGGAAAAATCTGCTTAGTCAGTCATGTATCGTAAGATACATGATCGTCTAAGCGTGCATCACGCATGGCACATAACTGACTAACTGATGATATAACCAAGGAATATTTTATTATTCTTAATACCATATCTTAATACCATATCTCTTATTGCCTCATTCATGATCTTGTCTTGCCTAGCCTTTTCACTACTTTCCTCCGGCATTTCGTCTCACAAGGGATCAGTTTCCTCTCAAGGGTTTTAGCTGGGTGCCATGTCTAGTATATGTCATATAAATAAATATAACTCATCATCCGAGAAATTCCGAGAAAAATAATGAATTAAACCTAAAATAATTAAATAGTACGAAAAATAAATAATGGTGAAATATAGATTATTCTATATTCTAAAGCACGATGTGTCTTCATATATTCTGTCTTGTGTGTATAACTTTATATGAATAATTGATCCTCAGTCATTTGAATTCGAATAAATCTGTCATCCTACAAATCATGTCAATGTATTGATTTTGGCCAAATTCAGTTAATTTATTTTTAACTCTTTTCTTTCTTTCTTTCAACCATAATTGTTTTATGTACTGATAATTCAGGTAAAGTCTTTTTTTATTAACGTAAATTTAATGACGTCACATTAACGCGGAGAGAATAATTTTTTTTTATTATCTGAAGTCATAACGATTCTTTCTCATCTGAGAATGAATCTTGGCAAATATCTCCAAACTAGGCTGAAGAAGAAATCTAAGTTTATCGACCCAAACATCAATTTATTTTAATCACTCAGCTTTGTCCTCGTTGTTTTCCGTCTGTCACTTTACTGTGTGGCGGGAAGAGCCATGATTTGAAGTTGACAGTTCACGTGGTGAAGATTATATATAGATTTTGTTTCCGAGTTAGTATGTTTGTCTTGTGAGAGGTCACGGCAAAGTCATTTGACTGTATCTTCGCAGATTTGCTCTAATGAGTGGTAACAAAGATGGCGGCGTATTACAGAAGCAAAAGAAGAAAATGGTCGTTCATCCCATGTAATGCTTCGTTGATCTGATTATGAAAGCAAACAGACGAGAATTATTGGGTTGAAATCGTTACGTTGTTTGATCGATTCATCAAAAGGTCCGTACTCTTTCCATTTAACTGAACAATGGATTCCTTTTGTTTCCATAAGAATAAATTGATAGTAAATAACTAATAATTTTCATTATTCTTGTCTCATTGATTACTAGCATTATCGTAGGATGAACATTATCTATCTATCTATGTATCTATCTATCTATCATCATCTCTTCATATCTATCTATCTATCTATCTATCTATCTATCTATCTATCTATCCTCGTCTCTTTATATCTATCTATCTATCTATCTATACTCATCTTTTCGTATCTATCTATATAACTACCTATCTATCTATCTATATCTCTTCATATCTATCTATCTATCTATCTATCTATCTATCTATCTATCCTCGTCTATTTATATCTATCTATCTATTTATCTATACTTATCTTTTCATATCTATCTATCTATCTATCTATCTATCTATCTATCTATCTATCTATACTCATCTTTTGATATCTATCTATCTATCTATCTATCTATCTATCTATCTATCTGTCTGTCTGTCTGTGTCTAATGCGATGTAGTTCACTTAGTCTATTTAAGATGGTCTCTCAGAAAGCATTTTTCCCTTCACAGCATGACTTTATGGATCTTGATTCTCCATAGCTTACTTTTTAACTCTAAACTGTTTGTTCATGTTGTCATTAAAAACCTTCTATTCGCTCACATATTCTATCCATGGTCTTCAGTTCCTTCTCTAGAATCACAGTTGTATCACTTAATGTCTCATCGTCATATATGAGGAAACTGTCCATCATTCAATTTCTTTTTTTTTTCTTTTTTTTAAGAAATTAGCCCAAGCAAGGAGAAAAAGTGAACGAAAAGACTGTGTTTTGGAGATATTGAGGGTAGGATAAAGACAACAGATGGCGGCGATTGACGTTGCATTTAAACTTTTGAAGCTTGTAATTATCAGGAGAGCAAGTAAGAGGAAAGGTTTTCCACTGTTGGGAAATGCGAGAAAAGAAGCATCTGGAGTAGATTTGGCGATTACTTTTAACTATTTCAACAGTAAAAGGGTGGGACCTAGATGCCAATCTGTAGCACGTTTAAATTCGTGTAGTTGGGGCACCAGGGGAAAAGCTAGTCAGAGCAGTTGCGATGAAAATATTTGTAGAAAAGGCAGGCAAAAGCCACATCACGTCTGCGAGAAAGTGACTGAAGTCGAGATGCCAGGTCAGGATCTATTACATTGCAGATCCTTCGTTTGGATCTAGTCAAGAACCTTGAGAAGAACAGCAAGGGAACGAGCAGATATGGCAACAGTATTCAATGCACGGACGAATGGCAGATTTGTCGATATGTAAGTTGAAATCTGACGCGAAAAACCTTCTGGCACGACACAATAAACCAACTTCCCTTGCAGTAGATGCAGCTTTTGATTCAATGCAGATGTTCCCCTTCAAGTCATTCGAAAATATGAGGCCAAGAAGGCAAAGCGAAGCGAGTCGAGACTTAACCATGATAACGGCGCACTGGGAAATTTCTCTATGTTGTTTAAATGAGAGAAATTTAGTTTTGGAGGCATTACAATTTACAAGCCATTTTCTGCTCGACTTAACCACTGATTGGAGGTCCTTTCGAGATCAGCGGCAACGTTAACGTTGTCAGCGCTGAGACAGGAGTAAATGGTAGTGTCATGTGCATAAACTTGGGAACTTATGACCTCAGAAAGATCATTGATGAAGATCTGAAAGAACATTGGAACAAAAATAGAGCCTTGAGAGTCTCACGCGTTCGTGTGAAGCGATCTGGAAAAGAGCCCGTTCAGAACGACCTTCATTTCACGATTTGATGGAAATGATTGGATTAAATCAAATAATCGGCATGTAATACCGCCGCCTTGAAGACCGGCAAGCCAAACCTTGTCAAACGCCTTTGAGATATCTAGAGCCACATCTCGAACTTCGCCGTTATTATCAAGAGCTTGGTATACATATTCAGTTATGAACGTAAGCACCTCAGTGGTACACCGGGCAAAACGGATACCATATTGTTTATCAGAAAGTGGGTCGTGAGAGATAAGATGCTTAACCATATCAGCATTGATTAAAGCCTCGAATACTTTGGCGAAATATGGCAGGAAACTGATAAGGCAGTAGTTAGAGGTGTCAGATGATTTTCCAGAGTTTTTAACAACAAGGTGTACGGACGAGGACTTCCAACAAGTTGGAAAGCAGAAATCAACGAGGCAATAGTCGCGTAGTTTGGAGAGAACTGGCGCAAGCTGGGGTGCAGATTTCTTTAGGGCGAGAGCTGGTATCCCGTCACCATCGCTTGCCTTATTGGAATCTAATTTAGAAATCATGTCCGAGACAAGCGACGGGTTTATACGCATATCACTCAGTAGAGCCTCAATTCAAGGGGACAAAATCAGGCGTGGTAACTCCAAATGAGTCGAGTGTTGAGTTGGAAGAGAATTACCGATCAAAGCATTCAACATTATCTGCTTCGAATTTTTATAATAGAAGCGGAATTGAGGATATGTTGTTGTTCAACACACTCTTTCAGGGCAGCCAATATTCTCTAGAACAAAACTTGCAAGATGAAAGCTGAACACTTTATTTCGCTCACTGGTGCAGACTGTCCTCAAGGACACATGACACAGTGGATAAAGGCGTTGGTTAGATCCAGTGATAAGACCCAAAGTGTTTGAGTTCAATACCTCTTTAAGGTAGTGGAAAACTTGGAGAATGCATTAACAGGAGATAACTAATAAATGACATCCATTAAACACGGCACGTGGAACTAGAACAGTCTACCTCAGTGAGCGAAATAAAGGGTTCAGTTCCAACCGCCTGCAGAATGCCGGATCGTACAATGGCCGAAAGATTGTAATAAAAATGGCGACAAAGATGAGGACAATAGTCCGAATAATGTAAATAGTGTACATAATACATCATCTCAGAAATATAACCGGTTCCTTAAGTAAACAATATATTATATGGATACATATATAGGATCAGAAAATAGTCATGAACATAGAAATATAGCTAAATATATAATCGTGTATACAAAGTCAGATCTTGTCCAGTTATTAAGGCTAAAACAGGCAGATGTTTTCTTTGTAGAATTACAATCATTTAGAATTCCTTGGTCTTTATTTGCTCCTAAATTGTGCCTAATGAATTTGAGAATAAAGTGGAGGCCTCGTGATGGTTATTAAGTTTGTCTGGTTGTATATCAGTTCTTTCTTCTTTCGGCAAAACCATGTTTCATCTGTGGAGGTGAAAGCAATATCGTTAATGAGACTTCATATGTGTCCAGACTTAGGGATACTCTGTACATATCCTCATTTTTTAACTGTGGATTGCATTAGTATTGTTTTAAATAATCTGATCTTGGGAAGATGCTTTTAATTATAACTGGCAACGTCTCTTCCGGTTGTCTCAATCATTTTCCTTAAACAAAACTCTCCAAGTTTTCGTCATCACTCCTGTGGCTTGGTATTCAACTCACAACTCTTTGGATCCAGTTACTGGGTCTAGCCAATGTCTTTATCCACGGGGCCATGTATCCTTGATGACTTAGCAAAGTGTTTTTTTTTTTCTTATTTTTTTCTTATTACATTCTTCAAAGTATACAATGGTTTTAGTAGCACAAAAATCAATCTAAAAACTTATATGAATTGAAGAACGTCGTTTGATAGTTTCGTATTTATAAGCTTAAAAAGCCGATTGAAAATAATGGCGCCGCATATGCGATCAAGCTGGGGTTGCGCAGCAGAGAGCATGGCTTAAACTTGATACTCGCAGACTTTTCTGCTGTACTGATTCCGTTCATCAGACGGTTCTTGATATTTTCCTCATTAATTCAGACTTAACTCAAATTAGTAAATAAAGGGAACGTTACTTGTTCGCGACATATGGAATGTGACGTTACGTTCTATATATGCTTGAAGAATTATTCAGATGTTTTGGCTTTGTAGACTTCTTAGGTTAAAAGAAATTAAAAAATGACTTAATTACTTTCAAATTAAACATAATAAAACATTTTATTACTTCCAATTGCTGTAAAATAAAAGCAATAAAATTATTTTTATTAATTTTAATTACTTTCATATCATTGTGATGAAAAAGGTTTTTAATAAGGGACATTATTAGGACTACACTTGAATTAATTTCTTTACACAGGCTTCCGTCGATAATGTTGTTATGAAAGAAAATGGAATCGACTATATAATTTGACTGGCATATTTCTCATACTTTGACTTTTACTCTAAACAAATTCTTTGAGGTTAACGTTCTTTACGTTTAGTTTTTTGGTATTTTCAGAAATATTCGGGCCAAAAATCTATGCAGGTATTTTCTCTTGGGTACCGTGAATACTAAAATTTAATAAAAAATTACAAGCGCTAGTGTTTGATGAATACCCTCATTTTTTTTTACTCTGAAATTTCATCTACTTCACTAAATATATGAATCAGTCCAAAGGTTTAAACTCTCAGACGTCGGCAGATATTTTAAATAAGAAATTAGATAATGTGACTTAATTATATTAATTTCTAATTAGTTCATAAGGTGGATAAACATTTTGAAAAAGTATACCTTCGTAGTTCAACGGTTATCGACGCGGAAAATCGACTCAGCTTTACTTCTTAATTTAATTCCCTTTGAAAAATTTATGAATCCAAATCGTCTCATGACGATTATTGATTCTTTCTTTTATGTGTCATATTCCTTTCTAGATGTAGGCGATCATGCCACTCCACCTCCCTCTATCCCTTGCAGCTCTCAACAAGTTCCTTCCCTCTGCTTCCTCCCCCAGACGCCGTTCTGTCATCCACTTGCTTAAGCCCGCCAGCTATGTCACGCGTTGTTTTTCATTGTTTTTCTTTCCCTCTATTCGACCCGTGAGTAACAGATTCTCTAGACCCTCCTTTCTCATTATGTGTCCAGAAACATCTTCCTGATGTTATGTATAAGCCCCCTCTTTGTTTGTAACCTCATCGTTTCTCACACGCTCAATCAATGATATCCTTAGCATTCTTCTGTTGAACCATATCTCCGTCACTTCGAATCTCTTCTTTATCTTTGAGAAGGCCGTCCAACATTCGCTGCCGTTAAGTAGGAAAGATGTCACGTAACAGCTCAGTATTCTTTTCTTTGTTACCAAAGAAATCCTTCTGTCTCGCAATACTCTGCCCAGCTTTTGGAATGTGTCCTTGGCCATCCCAATAGGTGTACAGGGTATTGAACTCAAACTCTTTGGGTACTGTCCAAGAGGATGCATGACATAGTGAATAAATATCCGGTTAAGACAGTGGAGAACTTGGAGAGGGGAAATAACAGGAGATAACTGATAACTGACATCCATTAAACATGGCACACGGAGCGTACAACAGCTGAAACATTGTGATAAACATGGCAACAAATATGAGGACAATAGTCCAAATAATGTAAATAATGTACATAATACATTATCTCAGAAATATAGACAGATACATTCAATTTGTCCAAAATACGTTGTTGTTAACAATGAATAATGAATAACCCATTTGAAAGACCACCATACAGTAGCCATT